TCTTAATTATTGACATTTTTAAAGATATAAGCTCACCCTGACATTACACTCATCGAGACTTTTCATTTGAGTACCCACATCAATTTTTCATATATTTTATTATATATACATATTGAATATATGAAAAATATATCAAAATGCATGTGGGTACTCAAATGAAAGCTCTTTATGAGCGTAATGTCAGGGTGAGCTTATATCTTTAAAAATGTCAATATTTGAGAAAGTACAGTGCAACTTAACAAAAGTCATTATTTAATAAAGCAAAATTTTAATTTTTTATTACAAGGATGCTAGTAATTATGACCAAAATTTCAGCCTTAATTTAGAAATAGCAATTGATAATTGATGGTGTCAAGTTTTTGATAGTACGATGAAAATATTGGTCGTATAAAAAAATCTTAAGAGACTTTTTTTTTTATAAAATTGTATTTCTAATAACTTTTATAAGTAAAATTTTTCTATAATACTAATATTTGCGTGAAAAATCTCGGGCTTACTAATAAAAGTCTCTAATAAACTTTTGTTTTTTATTTTAGGAATGTTTGAGTTGAATCACTTAATTATAAATAAAATATAGATAAATATTTACGTTAGAAGAAATTCTCTACCAGGCGCCCAGGATAAATGTCCTTCGTGTCGTTCCTCATGACCCCAAGAACCAGCTTTCCAACAGTTCATCACAACGAACGGTGAACGGTTTCCATGGTAAAAACGCGGATTTAAGTGTAAAGCAATATCTGGATGCGGGTACATCAATGGACTAGACTGGAGATTAACATAAAACCTAAAAGGAAGAAGAAATACACATTAATAATAAAAATATATTCTGCTGTCCATTCCTTAAAAATAAGTAAATATATTATCATTGTTATTATTTTTAATAATAGTAATAAATGTAACAAAAATAAACTTACGATTGAGGTAGAAGTTTCAAGCGACCTTTTATGAATATTCGCGTCCCGTGGTTAAAGTCTTGGATAAATATTGTCGAGGGTACTTTCTAGAATTTAAGTTATTGATAATTGATGTTTGATGATTTACAAATTCAATATACTCATAGAATGTACTTACTGGTTTAGTAAGAGGTCCTTGGTCCGTCAGTTCAAGCTTAAGTGTTGATTTAATAATCTTCGGGTCAGGATATATGTAAAGTCTTTTCAAACGAATCCGGATATCTTCCACGTCACCGTCATACTCGAAGTTTGTTATTGATTCTAATGGCAATCGGTATGCAAATGTACAAAAATGTTTGCCATTTATGGAAACCTGTCAAAATAATAAGTAATGAAAATTAATATCAATAATTAATAATCAATATAAATAATACTGAAATTGGCAAACATTTGACATTATTTTTAGATGTGGAATTTTTTTAATAAAATTTTTTCATAATAAATTTAAATGATCCTGAAGTTAATTGACAGGTGTCAATTTTTGGATTTTTATAACAAATGAATTTCTATCAAAAAATTTCAATAAAAAAATTCCACATCTAGGAAATAAAAAAATTACAAGTGCAACTTTTTAAAAATAATTTTTTTATGAAAATCAAAAAAAAATTTTAAATATATAAAAACTTACATAAAATTCCTTGTAAGAACAAAAAATGACCAAATGAAAATATGAATTCCGCTGTAATAACCCGCTACATGAAGTAAATGGCGAACATGTCTCTTCTTCATTCCAATAGCCGTTTATTTTTGAATTCCTCACGATATATCCTCTGTCTAACCGCGGATTTAAATGAAATGCAATATTTCCAGTTGCGTGACATGTTAAATTTACAGCGAACCTACAAGAAATTTAAATAAATAATAATTTTTAAACTTTATTAAAAAATTCACCGCATTTTAGTCTCGTTTATTTATAAATTTTTAAAATTATAATTAACACGATCGTCTTTTTAAAATTGCATCTCGAAAAATAGACATTCATTTGTTAATTATAATTAAATTATTTTTTTATTTTTATATATTAAAGTCTAGTCTTTGCAACTTTAAAGTTTTGTTTTTGTTATAGGTTAACTTCAAACAAATAAATTAATTTACCTTGTAGCGTAATTGGGAACATATCCAATAGCAATAATCGCAGACGTCGGCTCTAGTTGAATCGGACTCACCGGATTCGATGCGTTCTAAAAAGAATTATTATTAATTAGTAAGTTTTATTATTTTTTTATGAAGAAATAAAGTGAGTTAGGTTAATAAATTAATAAAATATTAATACACAATATATTGTCGTTAGTGTTGTGATAAAAATCCGCGACATCAGATCATGACGCGCGGGTTATTTGAAAACAATGCGCAATAAGCCATGCGCAGTTGATTAATAAAGTGACGTGCGCAATCTCTGCAGTCTGACAAAGAAAACTTTTCTACCACCAGATTTATTTGTTTATTTCATTATTTATTCAATATTCGTTAGTTTTAATTACTTTTTTTAATTTTATTTTTCAAATTTTTAATGCTCATACTTTTAAATTATTGACAGTAATAATTACTCACTACGGACACTGTTTCTTCGTCGAATAAGATGAAATTCTGCAAAGCGGTATCTCTGTTCGACATACTGGTCCTCGATAAGTACTCACAGTTATTATTTTTTAACACACACTAAGTTAGACACTTATTTGTTGGCAGAACGTGAGAGTTGTAGGTAATGTTATATTCTATAGCTCTACCAGATTGTAGTAAGTAATGTAATAGTAATAAATTACTTATTTTATTTTACAGCTGTGCAGTTATGCCAACAAATAATGACAATATTTTATGTCAAGAGTTATTTTATTTCAGGTCTTATGTGGCAAATATAATAATATGTTAAAACTTGATAATAGAAGATAATAAATGATGACTCATCAATGCAATTAATACGATTATTTAATTTATTTTTTATGACATTAAAGTTAGCAGTTAGTTGATAATTTTTAAATTTTATATAACGAAATATTTTCTGAAAAATTATTTTTAAAAAATTGCATTTATTAATTTTTTTCAAAAAAATATTCCAAGAATTTTCTTGACATTGAAATTAGAAGACATTTGACAGATTAACAAATTTTTTTTAATAATAATCTACGTTTAAAAAATTATTGAAAAAAAAAATTGCATTTATAATTATAAAGATGAAAATTAAGTTAGCTGACATCTAAAAATTTTTTTTATTGAAAAAATTTTTTTTGTAAAAAATTTGCAAAACTATAAATGCAATTTTTTAAGAATATTTTTTAGTTTTAATTAAATACATGAAAAAAAATAAAAACGTTAGCTAACTTTAGTATTATCTTATTAAGATAAAATTTTTGAAGTAAATTTTTCTTGTTATAATTTATTAAGTATATATAAAATATTATAAAAATAATCAGATTTCTCAATTTCAATATCATTAATTTTCTTCAACAAAATTTTTATTTTATTTTTACTATTAAGAAAATTTTTATAGTTTCTGATTTTAATAATTTTATAAAGAACGTTTTTTATTATTTTAATTTAATTTATGTTAAGAAATAAAAGTTTTTAGTGGTACTTTCCATAAATTATATAATAAAATAAAAATGAAAGGTATTGATCTTAAACCTTGACCTTGCAAAGGTAATATTTTAACGTTCTACATAATTTATACCCAGATAAAATTAAATAATAAAACTAACAATATTTACCCGAGAAAAAATAATTTACATGCATAATAAAATACAACAAAGTATTGATTTAACATTGTATATATTTTTATCAGATGTCAATCAAATTACAAAGCTTACACATAAGCGATTAATATGAATATATATAATATATATTTATAAATCTAAACATTTCATAACACATATATATATTTCCCAAGTTTCAAATAACTGATTAAATCACTATTTTTCCACCCAAAAATAGACAAACAATTATTTGAACTTTACATATTTATTGCTATAATTAATTCTTATTGATAATGATAACTGTGAAGATAAATTTGATTTATATAAAACATTTCAAAAGATCACGTATATAAATACTTACATAATATATAAACTTTGGTATATATGTCAAAAGATCGCAATATGTATATGTATATAATAATTAACAGTTCTTTTATTTTTAAAAGTTCGATTAAAAAATATTGTTTTCGTTGTAGGCTGTATAGTGAATATGGCATTTAATATTTATCAATATTTAATCGGACGGACGTATTTTCCAATTAGAGTATTGAGAGTCTCGTTATCTTGTTTGTCTTGTCATTTCAATTATTAAATAACAAAATTTTCTTAATCAATTAATGTCATGTTATTTTTGTGCGATTTAAATGTTTCATTTTCATAAATAGTTTTCAACAAGTACAAACTAACAAATAACATTTAATATATGAGTAAGTATTTCATTAAATAAAATTAATTATTAATCTTTTACAGACTTATATGTCTCGTGGCTCATGTGGGTCTGGCAGTGCTTTCCACGAGGGTTGAACGCCCCAAATTTCTCGAGCGTACTCGTCAATAGTACGATCTGACGAGAATTTCCCCGAAGAAGCGATATTGTTGATAGACATCTCGGCCCATTTAACCGGGTCCTTGTAAGCCTGGTTTACTTTTTCCTGAGCCTTGATGTAGTCTTCGTAGTCAGCTAGCAGGAAGAACCTGTCCCACTTCATCAGGACATCGGTTATTTGTTTGAACTCGTCTGGGTTGTTGGGACTGAAGAATCCGTTGGATATTTGGTCGATACACTGTTTCGCTTCTGGTAATTTGTTGTAGTATTCCCATGCGTTGTAGCCGCGTTTTTTCAATTCTTCAACCTCGTCGACAGTCATTCCGAAAATGAAGATATTTTCGTTGCCCATTTCTTCAGCCATTTCTACGTTAGCGCCGTCTAGGGTTCCTATTGTTAATGCGCCGTTTAACTGAAATTTTTTTAATGAATTAGTATTTTTTTTTATCATTTTAAAAGTAGTCATTTAATTATTCAAGTTAAAATATTCAAGTTATTTTTATATTAAAATTTTATTATAGAAATTGAATAATTTAATATCAATGATTTGAAATTTTCGCAATAGCTATTATCAAAAAATTAATGACTAAAAATAAACATAAAAATCATGACACTGAGAGAAAAAATTTCTTTTGAAAAAAAATAGGCATTGTTGTGACAAGAAATTAATTTGTTGAAAATTTTATTTCTTAGCTGAAGGAATAAAAATTTTTTTCACAATAATTTTCTTGTTGAAAAAAAGTTTTTTAATTAAGAAAAAAAAAAAACAATTTCAGATAGACAACTTGCAAATTTTCATCCAAAATTATTTTTTTCCAAAATCTAGAAAACTTTTTTTCAACAAGAAAGTTACTGTAAGGAAAATTTTTATTTTTCAACCAATTAATTTTTTATTACATTGTTCACTTTTTTTTTTTTTTCAATTTTTTTCTCTTAGTGGAATTAGTTATGAATTTATAATCGTTTGATTTTAATTATTGCCGCCATTATTTTTAAAAAATTGATCTTAAAAATTTTTAAAAATTTTATTTACTATCAAAGCGTATTTTCAAATATAAAACCGAATTTTCCCTCGTGTATAAAAATTAAAACTTACCATAAATTTCATGTTACCAGTTCCAGAAGCCTCAGTACCGGCCGTAGAAATCTGTTCGCTCAAATCAGCAGCTGGAATAATTTTCTCCGCCAAAGTAACTCTATAATTCTCCAAGAAGATAACCTTCAACTTATCCCCAACAATCGGATCATTATTAACGACCTGAGCAACGCTGCAAATGAGTTTAATAATTTTCTTCGCTAACATATACCCAGGAGCAGCTTTTCCACCGATCATAACCGTTCTTGGAACAAACGGCGCCGAGGGATTCTTCTTAATACGATTATACATCGTAATAATATGCAGACAATTAAGAAGCTGTCTCTTATACTCATGAATCCGCTTGACCTGGATATCAAAAATCGAAGCAGGGTTGACTTTAACCCCGTACTCTTTCTCCAACATTTCAGCAAGTCTGAGCTTGTTCTCCTGCTTAACCTTCATAACATTCCTCTGAAAGTTGGCATCCTTGGCCCATTTCTTCAGCTGAGCCAACTGGTCCAAGTGTACCGTCCAATCGCTGCCAATTTTATCCTCAATCAAATCTGAGAGATTGGGATTGCACAGCAGCAACCATCTTCTGGGAGTGATTCCATTGGTCTTGTTCTGGAACTTCTCGGGATGCATTTCATAGAAATCGCGGAAGAGGTCGCTCTTCAATATATCTGAGTGGATTCTTGCGACACCGTTGATGGCATGGCTGCCAACAATTGAAAGATGCGCCATGTTTATCCTTTTCTCTCCGTCTTCTTCAACCAAGGACATTCTTCTTAGTCTGTCCAGGTCGCCGGGGTACTTGGCACCCACTTCTTGCAAATGAAGGAAGTTAATGTGGTAAATAATCTGCAGATGTCTTGGCAGAATACTTTCAAGTAAAGAAACCGGCCATCTTTCCAGCGCTTCTGGCAAAACAGTGTGATTGGTGTACGCGCAAGTGCGCTTGGTAATGTCCCAAGCCTTGTCCCAGGGAAGACGTTCAACATCAACGAGAATCCTCATCAACTCTGGAATTGCCAATGAAGGATGCGTATCGTTCAGTTGAATAGCGACTTTGTCAGGGAAGTGTTCGAAATCGGTCCGGTGATGATCACGAGATCCAAATTTACTGGACTTGTACCTTCGAACTATATCCTGGAGAGTTGCTGCGACCATGAAGTACTCCTGCTTCAATCTCAGTTCTTTTCCCTCGAAGAAGTTGTCGTTGGGGTACAGGACTCGGGTGATATTCTCGGCCAAGTTCCGGTCAAAGACAGCTTGGATGTAGTCTCCGTCGTTGAAGAACTTCAGGTCGAACTCAATAGGCGATTTAGCCGACCAAAGTCGCAGGGTGTTGACGACGTTGTTCTTGTACCCGGGGATCGGGTTGTCGTAGGGCATGGCGAAGACTACCTGGGTGTTGACCCATTTGGCACCCTCCGGGGTGTCGATTACGTGGCCGTAGAAATTTACTGGTAGCATGAACTCCGGGCGAGCTTTCTCCCAAGGATTTCCGTAACGCAACCAGTCGTCAGGTTCCTCTACTTGCTCGCCGTTGCGAATTTTCTGGGCGAATATTCCGTACTCGTAGCGGAGTCCGTACCCGTAAGCTGCTAGACCTAGGGTCGCCATGCTGTCCAGGAAACAAGCTGCCAAACGACCCAGACCGCCATTTCCTAGACCCGCGTCTTCTTCCAGCTCTTCTAGCTCTTCAATGTCCAGACCCATCTGTAAATTTTTGATAATTAAAAAATTGCATTCAGGTAAGATATAAATTTTTGAAAATTTGAGAAGCAATACTTAAAATTTTGTTTAATTAATATTGATGATTTTTTTGAGTAATTTAAGGGACATACCTAGTGTGAAATTTTTAAAAAATCGATTTTTTTTTTCATATTTCGAAAGGTTATACCTTTAAAATTTTTAATCGATATCTCAAATAATTTTTAAGTAACAACCATTTCAAAAGTAGCCGCTCGGCAATTAAAATAAGATCATTTTATCTTTAAACGCATTTTTCGAATTTGCTGCAGTGATTATTCTTTATACAATGACCTACGAGTTTTTTGATCTGATCAAAAATCGAATTTTGGCAGGCCAAAAACGACCAAAATTTTGGGTAAAATTCAACTTTTTTTTTTTAAAACGTCGCCATTTTGTCAATTTTTGGTATTTTTTTCGGCCGTAGATCATTGTACGGACTATATCTTCTGGTTGAACGAGATTTTTTTTTGTTTTCATTCAAAAAATGTATAAATATACCCTTAAAATTTTAAAACAAGTGACACAGTAGTTATTTCATTTTTTAATTTCCAAAAATTGTCTTTTTTTTAGGTTGTCACACTAGGTGTGCCCCATAACTTCAAAATACTAATGTTAACTTGAATAAATTACTGCTAAAAAAATTTTAGATAAAAATTCATGTAAAAATTTAAAATGATCAAAAATGTTATTTCTTCTTAACACTTTATTAGCTTTAATTCACTTAATCAACAAACCGGTCAAATGTCTGTTAATTTCAGTGACAAAAAAAATAATTAAAGTCAGATATCAGACAATTTATCAATTAAAGATGAATAAATAAATAAATACAGAAGAAATACCAATAAATTATAAAAACTTTGAATGTTATTACGCAAAAGAACAACCTTAATTAAAATCAATTGTGTAAATAATTTAAATAAGTCAATCATATTAATTCTAACTTTCACTTTCAGAAAATTCTTCTCGAATTTCCCCATACGATATAATACATTTAGAAAGAATTCATTATAAATTCTAGCATTGATATTTACTTGATACATTGCTTCATCACAAGCTCCTTGGATCCCTAAATTAATCATGGTGTTTTGCAGAGTTCGGCCCATGTAATACTCCAGCGATAAGTAATAAACCCGCTGAAAAAAATGAATTTGTATAAATATTGTGATAATTATTAATAATCATTTTATTATTAATTAACTACTGCAGAAGACTAAACAAATTTCAATTAAGAGATAACTCTTTTTAGGTAACAAACATGTTTACGTTGTTCTTAATCTCATCTTTCGTAATTCTATATTTATACTCAACAGCAATAACAATAACAATAATGTAACTAGATGAGATGTCATAACATTGACGAATTCATCATGCCGTGGAAGAAATAAACCCGTTCTCGTTTACATTACGTTGGAAATTTTTCCGTTGGCTAAAATAAATGTTAAATGGGAAAAATTCCAACAGATCTTGACATTGGTTGGCATAAAGCGCATGCTCAAATGCCAATTTTATACCAAATCATTATTTTTCTTGCTCAACTTTTTTTATTATTTTCTTTTTTTATTTTTGTAACTTTTGGCTGTGAAAAAACAATTTACTTTTCAACACTCGGTACAAAAAATTTTTTGTAATAAATTACATCATATTTCTTCAAAGAAGAAATAGTAAAAATCTTTAAAAAAAATTTACTATTTTTATTCCAATATTTTCTGTCATCTTTTGATTTTTTTCAAATAAAAAAAAATTGATCATTAATGTTCTACTGATAAATATTGAGATTTTTTTATTAAATTCATACAATAATAAATTTTTAAAAATATTTTCTGTTATCTTTTAATTTTTTTCAAATAAAAAAAAATTGATCATTAATGTTCTACTGATAAATATTGAGATTTTTTTATTAAATTAATACAATAATAATCTTTAAGCTTCAGAATTTATTGAAGAAATTTATGAAAATGAAGTTAGCTGACATTTCAAAATTTTTACAAATTTTTTATTGAAAAACTTTCAATTAAACAATTAAAAAAAAAATGCACATGTAAAAAACTTGAAAAACTATAAGTTTTTCTTTTTTTAGAAAGATCTTTTTAGCTGTAATTTAATTTAAAAAAAAAATCAAAAATTTTTAGACATCTGCTAACTTCAGTGTCATAGAAATTTTGGTATATTATAAGTAAATTTTAATTAAAGATTTTTAGTAATTATTTAATTAAAAACAGGCAATAAATTTCTACCAAAAGAAGAAATAATAATAAAATATATAAGAGGTTAAATTGAAATTGAAATATTTAAATGTCTGAGGCGCTAAACGACGTTGTTGATTATCTCTATTAAATTGGGAACAAGGTCGTATTATTGATGTCTTTAAATAACAATTCATTTTTGATTTAATCAAATCAAATCATATGAAAAATTTCTTCATAGAATTATTTAAGTAAATAAAAAATCAAAGAGTTAGTTTATTAATCAGCTGATTGATTAAATAATAAAAAACAATACCTTTGGATCTGTTTCATAATAATATTGCTGTGTACGAATCCACCTAGAGACAAGATTGTCCTTAACGCTGTGCGCCAGAGCAAAAAAATAATCCCTTGAGGTCGCAACATTCCGGTCTTTAACCAGAGTGTAGTGAAGATGTCTGTTGAATGTTTTTTTAAAATTTCCGACGTTTTCAACGTCGACGATGCCTCTCACCGAGATCTGCTTCCTCTTCTCACGGTCCACGTCGTGCACAGACATCTTTAGTTCTGTGGAGTCTTAGGAATTGTGTTTACCTGAGACCCGAGTGTGGGATTATTATGAGGTAGTGCCGGAATCCGTGAACTCGCGAGCACGGATAAAACGAAACTGAGTAACTGAGAGTAAGTGTGATGTGATCTCGAAAATTCAAGACCCGAGTTTCAGTGATTATAGGACGGTCACCTTGTCGCCTCGCTCGAGGTCACGCATGCGTGATGTGAGGTTATCTCGGAAGTATTCGTGGATCTTGAGGCTGTAAAGTTTCACACCCAAAGACTGAAGATGAAGCATTGAATTATTACTCAGAGGGAAGACGAGTCTTTTGGTGGAAGAACTGTAAGTACTTTTTACGATGATAACCGAAATATGATTTATAAAAAATAAATATTTTTTGATACTTAAATCAGCTGACATTTGATGAAAATTAATTCAGTAGATATTTAATAATTTTTTTAACAAATAAATTATTTAAAAAATTGGAGTAAAAATTTTAATTAATTAAAAATAAATTTTTTTTTAATAATTTTTTGGAACAAAATTTATTAATAAAATCGAAAAATTGTAAATTGACAGCTAAATTTAATTTCATTGATATTAGATAATTTTTAGGTAGATTTCATAAAATCTATCTATTGCATTGGCCCTTGTGTCAAAATTCACACAGAATTTTGTTACTATATCAATTATTTAGTCGAGTAAGGCTTAAAAATGACGTTGGTTTGGAATTTTATATATGTATATGTATATATATTTATGTAATATAACGCACAGCTTGTAGACACGATAACTCCCACAATTCTTAATGAATCTTTATGAAACTTGGTAGACTTATTCTATAGACAATTAGCTTGGATGAGTTTAAAAATGAGCTGAATCCATCAAATAGTTTAGAAATGGCAGCCGTTTAAAATTTTCGAAAATCTAAAAAATCACATGTTTGGTGACTTTACTAGAGAATAACTTTTTATTGAGAAATGATAGATCGTTTTTCTGCATTTCGTTTCAAAGCTTATGAAATTCTCTTTAATTTAACCTACAACAAATTTACTTTTCATCAATTACTCCAAAAGTTTAAGAAGCTGAATGTCATCTGAATCAGTTTCAGACAAGCACACAACACAACTTGTGGACACGATTACTCCCAGAATTTTTAATGAATCTTTATGAAATTTGGTAGACTTATTCTATATACAATTAGCTTGGATAAGTTCAAAAATGAGCTAAATCCCTCAAATAGTTTAGAAATGGCAGCCATTTGAAATTTTCGAAAATCTAATAAATCACTGTATTTTAAAATTTGGCAGCCGATTTACTTTTCTGATAAACTTGAGGAATAATAATTATTCATAATATCGTAATTAAAATCATGGATTACATGAATTCTACCTTCCATCTTGGCTGGTGCCAAATGGCCTTTTATTTTTTATTAAAATTATTTTGCAAGGTTTGTTCTTGTGATTTTATTAAATTTTTAAGTGTGCAATTTATTTGTTAAAATTTTTTAATTATAAAAATCAAAAATATTGACAGATGTCTGTTACATTTAGTATCGAATAATTTTTGATTTTTTTTAAATTAAATTAAAACAAAAAAATATTTTTAAAAAATTGCACCTTCAATTTTTCAAGTTTTTTACAAATGAAATTTTTTTTTTAGTTTTTTATAATAATTTTTTCAATAAAAAAAAATTCTAAAAATTTTTAGATGTCGGCAAACTTAATTTTCATGGCATTTGATGAAAATTAATTTAGTAGATATTCAATAATTTCAAGAATTTTTTTTAACAAATAAATTATTAAAAAATTAGAGTAAAATTTAAAAAAATTAAAAATGCATTTTTTTTAAATTATTTTTTTGAACAAATTTGTTTGTTAAAAAAATTAAAAAATTGTAAATTGACAGCTAAATTTAATGAAATTGATATCTGACAATTTTTTTTATTTTTATACAAAATTACTTATAACAAAAAATCATTTTTAAATGGTTTTTACTTGTGATTTTATTAAATTTTTAAGTGTGCAATTTATTTGTTAAAATTTTTTAATTATAAAAATCAAAAATATTGACAGATGTCTGTTACATTTAGTATCGAATAATTTTTGATTTTTTTTAAATTAAATTAAAACAAAAAAATATTTTTAAAAAATTGCACCTTCAATTTTTCAAGTTTTTTACAAATGAAATTTTTTTTTTAGTTTTTTATAATAATTTTTTCAATAAAAAAAAATTCTAAAAATTTTTAGATGTCGGCAAACTTAATTTTCATGGCATTTGATGAAAATTAATTTAGTAGATATTCAATAATTTCAAGAATTTTTTTAACAAATAAATTATTTAAAAAATTAGAGTAAAATTTAAAAAAATTAAAAATGCATTTTTTTTAAATTATTTTTTTGAACAAATTTGTTTGTTAAAAAAATTAAAAAATTGTAAATTGACAGCTAAATTTAATGAAATTGATATCTGACAATTTTTTTTATTTTTATACAAAATTACTTATAACAAAAAATCATTTTTAAATGGTTTTTACTTGTGATTTTATTAAATTTTTAAGTGTGGAATTTATTTATTAAAATTTTCTAATTATAAAAATCAAAAAAATTGACAAATGTCTGTTAAATTCAGTATCGAATATTTTTTGATACTAAAATCAGCTGACTTTTTTTCTTTAAATAAATTAGCAATAAAAAATATTTTTTTAACACTCACTTTGATAATTTTTAAATATCAAAAATTTTTTTTATAATTTATTTGTTAAAAAAAATATTAAAAATTATCTTATGTCAAATTTATCGCGGTAAAAATTATCGTTGTTATTGAGAAAGTGAAAGAAGTGATAAATTATTGGATTATCAACGCCTAAATTGATGAATACTTAAAATTAATTTTTAATAAAATATAATTTCAAATAAATAAAAAAAAAAACTATTATATATAATCTAAAGACCATCAAATTAATTATATATAATTAAAAAATAAAAAAAAAGTGAAAGAAGTTTTATAAAAAACATATATAAGAATAAATAAATCCTTTAGTGTCTTATTATAATTTTATTTTATAAATAAATCGTGCGAATGCAGACGTAATAATGAAAACGTCAAGAAAGCGGTACGCAATTATTACAATTTCAGTCGAACAAAAAAAACACTGTCTTCATAATAAAAACATAGTGATCCAAGTAATTTTTATTTTTTACTTTAATATATAGAGTATTTTGTGATATATGTATTTATTTTATACATAATATTTATATATTTATATAAAGTTACTAATAATAAAGTTTAGTTTTCAATGAATTTCCAATAAAATGGTTTGTTCGTTATTTAAAGTTACTTGCTTTAAATGTCTTAGACTATTTCTCTGTTTAAGGTGATCTTTAATATTTATATAATATTCAATGTATTAAGTATACATAATATATAATAATAATAATAATCATAATAATAATAAAAATAATTACAATAATAGTGATATTTTTATTCGCAATCCTCAACAGATTAAAGATTTAATAAGATAGAATATATTAATCTTTAAATTCAATTTTTTTTAAATTTTTAAATTCATATTAATTAAATCGATCGCCAACAAAAAACACAAAGGATCGCTGTACGCTTATCTTATAATCTAACGATAAAAAATGAACAATTTTCATATCAAAGCGCATACAACCAATTGATCAAAGATTTATTATATAGCAATATTCTTCAATAATTGGTCAAATTTAAATTTATTAATTCATTTTAATTAAATTTTCTAAAGCTTTGTATAATATATCTTTTATAAACTTTCTTCATCATAAGATGATTATTTATTTTATTAAAAGTTTACCACAGTGTATGCACATTCACAACAACAATAATTAGCAGTTACCTCTGCTGATTTATTATTTAAAAATAATAATAATAAGATAAATAATTACATGCGTATGATGTGGACAATGCAGCTAGCTGAATGAGCTAATACGTACTCATGATTGTTTTATTAATAAATTCATTCACCAATGTAGAGTAATTACATTGCGAAATAAATCAATTATCGACGAGTAGAGGAAAGAGAAAAAAGAAAGGAAACAAAACAGAAAAAAATAATTACTTGCTTTTTTTTTTAAACCCTTGGAAAAAAAAATATTAAAATATAAGATTAATTATCATTGCACTCTTAACATCAATAGCCGATGTTACTGCCGCAAAAATAACGAACAATCAACCAATCAATTCAATTGTTATTATTAACTATAATTACTCGTTTTTTTTTTTTTTTAATTTTTTTATTTTTACTTTTTATTTATGAGAGCTTTACGCTATTTATATTAATATATATAAATATATGAGTTGTTATAAAGTATGTAATGACGGATCGTGTCATTTTGATCGCTCTCCGACACTTTGGTGTCTTATGCACGTCTAGATTTTATTTCTGCTGAGTTTTAAAGCTCCACGTGAATTTAGTGATGTATTATGATCTTGATCTTCTATTCTTCTTGGAATAAACTAAAAAATTTACTCCTCCTTCGTAGGCTCTGCCTTTTTGCCCAGAGGAATAGCTGCCTTTATTCTATTTTATCATAAAAAAAACATTTATTATTATTTATTAATCATCATCATCAATTTTCAAAATATTTTCTCAAAAAAAAATTTTCTTCTTTTAATTCCATCAAAAGAAATTTTTATCAATTTTTATTTTTATAAATTCTTTAATTTTTTTGTAAATTAAAAAAAAATTAATTTTAAATAAAAAAAAATTTTTTTAAAAGAAATAAATTTTTTTTTTACCTAAGTATTATAAAGAAAGTATTTAATTTTTTTGTAATTGAATGAAATAATTTTAATTTAATTAATTATGTAATAGCTTTATAAAATAAAAATTTTGACTTTTCTTGATTTATATGAAATTTTAATTTTTTAAATACTAATTATTGGTAGAGAATTGTAATTAAAAACATTTTTAACAGTGAATTATTAGTCAGTAAAAATTATTAAAACTTACTTGGCAGTCAATTCATTAATTTTTCCTTGTACTAAAGCGAGGTTCTGGTCGATTTGAGCTTTGTTCGTTTCATATACTTTCGGAAGCGTGAAAAGTGCAATCACTCCTGAAAAATTTTACGAATCATTAGTAAATTCATAAATTACTTATATTTATTAACTTATGTCATAAAAGTAGTAGAAAAAGAAAAACTTACCAATGATGATGAGTGTCATTCCATTGAACCACGAGCCGACATATGTCAAACACCACAAACCGATACTGAATTTAAGTGAATCAATAAAGTCTTCGATCAGGAACAATCTACGGAGTTCAGAAACAGCTGCGTTGGCGTGTGCTACAGCGATGTCAGCAACTTCATGGACTTTTTCTGCTGGTAGTGTAAGATCAACTTCAAGAATGTCTCTAGAAAATTAGAAAATTATTTTTAGTAAATTTATCAATTAATTAATGTATTATATGTAATTAAGTAAAAATTAAATATATCTATAATAATTTTTTTTCTATGTTATTTTGAATGTATAAATAATAAAGTGACAGATTGATTGCTGTGATTCATATTTTTGTACTCAGAATTGTTGACAGTTTTTAAAAAAATTTATTTTTAAATTCTTTTTATTTAAAAATATTTTTTGTGATTTCTTCACAAAGAAATATATTTTTAGATAAATAAATTAATATAATGCAGTTGGTATAAATATTTTTGGAGTATATTTATGTAGAGTTAATATTTTTAAAATTTTTTATCAATGAAGAAATGAGTTAGTAAATTTTTATAAAACTTAAATTAATATCTAAGAATTTTTTAAACATTTTCTTTTATAATTTATTTATCAATATATATATAAAATAAAAAAAAAGATGTCTATATATTTCAGTACAATGAACTTTTAAAACAAAAATGAAAAACTTACTTGAAAGGATGTCCATCAGAAGTTTTCTGTATGGCTTGTAAAACAGTTTTATAAATCCGGAATCCCATTGTACCCACTAGTGTCAAAAGCGCTGTGTATGAGAATACGCTGATCAAACTAAAGTAGGTCAGTGACAGGAGTATGCTCATTACTACACCGAAAACAATTCCTGTTTTTTCTGGCTGGCGCCAATAAATCAATGCCGCCACTGTAAACAAAATCACATTTTAAATTAGTCAATTTCTTTAATTTTTTTTATTGAATTCTTTTCATTCATTCATTTATTCATCAATTAATAATTATTTATGCATTACTCATTTTTATTACTTAACGAGTAACATAAAAATTACAGTTCAGAACAAAAATAATGATAATAAAATAAAATGGAAATACTGTGCTTCCACCCGTGTCTTTTTAGTCCCTATTTTATTTAACGAACACGCAACTTAAATACTACGTCGTATTCTCAACTAAAATCTTTTCTATATAAGTATTGATTTGTACTTTTATTTTATAAATTTATTATAAAAATTATTTCTCAAAAATTTTGTATTAAATACTAAAGATATAAAAAATTATTTGTTTCATAAAATAATTTTAGTGCGCTCCAAAATAAGAAATAAAAAATTTTACAATAAAAAAAATTGACTTAGAAAATTTTTAAATAATTAATTTTTTATCAATTAAAATTTTCTTTTTACAAATTAAATAGATTGCCAAAAGTTGGGCACTAAAATACAAAAGAGCTAGCGGAAAAAAATGTTTTATCTAAATAAGGTAAAGGTGAAAGAGCCGAAGAAGTCAATGGTAAAAATCAGGGTCATACACTTGAAGTGCATCTCAAAGGCCTTCACCAGGACAATTGTATATTGTGTAACCTTGAACATAATATTTGCTTTAAATAAAAATAATAGCAAGTACATAATTAATTAATAATTAATAATTGTTAAAATAACTAAATATAATCTTATCTTAAATTCGTACATAAATTTAAATATTTGGTCAAACAATTACAATTATTATTTACACATATGTTTCTTGCGTAAATACAGACAATTTAAAAAAGTAAGGAAAAAAAAAAAATTAATTTTATTTACAAAAATTAACATTTTGACAATACTGTACTTTTCAGGGCCTTTAATTGTCACTTTAAAAGAAGAAATAAAATAAAAATTGTGAAGAAATAAAATACCACGTGGAGCCACCATATGTTGGATTAATCCGTGCTCCGAAATGTACCCGCAATTAATAAAAAATTAATCAGATTTGAGAGTTTAGCTCGTAATAAGTATTGGATGGAAAGTAATAATAAAAAATTCCGATCTAAATTACTCACCGGAATTAACTTCAGGAAGTTCTTCCTCAGTTCTTCGCGATCTTTCTTTCCTCACCATTTTTAATCTATTGTGTTAATTATAAACTTTCGAATTAGCAAGTTTTTAAATTGAAATTAACCTCCCGGTTTTAGCGAACGCGAAATATAACGACACGACGCCGAATAGAACGCGCAACTGAACTTACAACGGAGCTTATAAAGAATGAGAATGTATCTTGTGTGTTTAAATGTATGTGCTTGTTGAAGGTACTTGTGGAAGTAAGCTAAGCCGTATATATGTATTCGATTTTATGTGGATGTCTGAGTAAAGAGCGAAAGAGACAGCAGTTTTAATAAAAAAGAAAGAAATACGTCGAGGGTAGAATGAGAGAAGGGATAATATAAAAAAAATATGGTTGACGAGTAGAGTGGGCTTGAAAAAACCTAACAAGTTTAAGTATTTTTTAAATATTATGCTACTGAAACCTGTTGACTAACAAAATATTATATTTTTTATTATAATTGTTATAATTTTTTAATATTTTCTTCATATTTTTTATTAAATTAAAAAGTTAGAATTTTTATGTAAAAATTTTACTTTTCTATTTTACAAGTTTAAAATTTTTCATATATAATTTATAAAAACCCAATAGTTTTCTATAATGTTGGCAAAATTATTAAATTTTTCCCATATGCTAAAGAACAATGTGAAATTTAAACCGACTCACCAGACCCGTAAAGATGGCGCCGCGTTTTTTGTTTAAATTAAAAATTTTATAATTAAATTTCTTCTTTATAGAAGAAACAATTCTTTTTAATTCATCATTTTATTTTTATATAAATTTGAATGATTAATTGAAATAAATTTAATATTTATTTGTAAAAAAAAAGAATAAAAAAGTTGGCATTACTTGTGTCACGTGACTCCAACATTATTCTACGTATGATACGTGTATCATATATAATGTAATAACAGTAAATTTAAACCGGCGCAATTATACCCAAAGATTTTAGATTATTATTTTTTAATTATCTTATCTTTTTATTGTACTTTTAATAAAATATTATTTATTATCTATTAATATATGAAGTATATTGTACTTTATACTGTAGGTTGTATATTAATGATGCTATTTTTCAGTACTTATTTATAAAGTGTTATTTATATTTCTTGTTTGATTTGTACATTAAATGGATCTGAAAGGCATGCGTATAGCAGCGTCAGTTATTGATTCACTTTACTAGTAAAAGTCTATTTTATTTAAATAGTACTAACTTTATTGTTATAAATAATGTCACGTGCTTTGATATAAAGTTTTGTTTTTTGTATTTTTTGATTTTTTTAGATTGAAGTGATTGGAAATGATAAGATTATTCGGATTTTTTTATTCCAAAGATATCAAGTTCGTAGATTAAAAATTTTTTAAACTTAATTTAATTATTTAAAACTGTTTAATTTTTATTATTATATTCTTTTCAATAATCGTATAACAAAAAAAAATTCATAAATTTAAAAAGTTTATTAACTGGTAAAATTTTTTTTTCTAGTAGTTTAAATAAAAATTGAAAAAAAATTTTAGATTTTTAAAATGAGCGCATTTTTTTTTTTTTTTTAATTTTATAAGTAGTAAATTTTTTTAAATAATTATTATTTAACAAGAATTAAACAAAAAGTTTTTTGCCAATTTAAAAATTAAAATTATCAATTAAAAGAAGTATTTGATATAATCTATTTGGAATGCAACATTTAAAATTTTTATAGTCTTATTTAAATAAAAATGATTAGACTAGTTGATCAAAGAAATAATTCTGAGGTAAAGTCTTTTGAGGTTAACCACAAGGAATGTTATCTTGAAAAATTAGATAAATCATTTTAAAACTGTAAAACAATTTATAAAATTTTCTGTTTATAAAATTTGAAATTTTTTCTTTCATTATTCAATCAAAGTCTCTTTTAAATTGAAAAATAGAGTACAAAATAAATCATAAATTTTTTTCATACTTTTTAAGTAAAAAATAAAAAATTTTCTATTAAAAATACAATTTATAAATTCACAAATTAAAAATTGTTAAACTTTTCTTTACAATTTAAAAAATAAATCTTTTTCAATTTGTAACAATAAAAAAGTTTTGAATTTTTTACTATAATTTAAATATAAATTCGGAGTGTCGCTACTCCGACTATCCAACAACAATACAAAGAAAGTTCAACTCTCTTAACATAAAAACTAAAAACTAAAATATTTCTATTTCAAGTTCATCCAAGATTCTTACGTAACAAAAAATATAAAAATTCCCGGTTCTGATGGAGGGAAAAAATTAAAAAAAAAAAAACTTATGAAACAAAGCAAATATCAAAGCACGAATTAGTGAATAGCATTCAATAATAAAAAAACTAAAAAGAAAAAGATTATTTTTATTTCAGAGACAGAGTAGTTTGAATTGACCCAGTTAGAATCACGCCAGAACAAATTTTCGTTAGACGTAAATTTTCCACGTTTGGATGGAGATCAAGAACCAAGTACGTTCTATGACTATATATCACTAGCCTCTCAACAAGAAGAATAGTTAGTGAAGTCTATTGTCATTACTTATTATTACAACATTTAAACAATCAACCCTCTCTATTGTTCTCAAGCTACTTACACTCTTCCTTATTGAACTTGATGTTCTTTAACTCGATTAATTGCTCCAATATATTATTCATTTTTAATTTTCAGATCACTTTTCCTTTAAAATCACAGCAAATAAAAATTTTAAAAAACCACTGGCAGTTCAACAAAATAAATTTAATGTTTTGTTTAACCACAAATGAAAAACTGCACCCCGGATCAACAAATTGTAAGTGAAACTTTTACTAAAATTATAATTTTAACTTTTAATTAACCAAGTACACAAAAGGAAGTTAAATATTTAAAAAATTTTCAGGCGTTTTCGGCAGAGATAGACACAGACCGAAGGAACGTGTGATTCTAAAGAGGATCCGAGCAAATGAAAATGTTGGCAGCGCACCAGCCAAAAATCTGGTCGAGCCGTTTATATTTAGTTAACCCACAGCTAGATTATATCCTCTATCTCAACCTCTACCTCTATACTTTTGCTGCTACCTACAATACAACTGTACCAACACCAATACCAATAAGAAGACTAGATAAATTGTCTGGGTTGGTATTGGTAGCAAGAGTATGAATATAATATGACGATGCGAGTCTGCTCACTCAATTACAAGGATATAAATTCAAAAACTGGCCTGTTACTACTCAGAAACAGTGAAAACCTGGCAAATAGGATGCGTTTCCAGATCCGCAGCTGGTCGATGGATTTACAACTAAACCCACCCTGGACAGTCACGTGTTACAATCACGGTGCAGAACAGAGATGAGATTGACAGCTTAAAAAATTATGGATGCTAGAACTTACTTGAGAATTTTTTAAACGATATAATTCTAAATGCTTGAACAGCGGGAGCTTGGAAATTTACGGCAGGTAAAAGAACCTGAACAGGTAAGAAGAAAATAAATTTTTAAAATATGTAAAATGAGAATTTACTTGGTATTGTAGGTTGGTTCAGGCTATAGGGCTTGTTGCAAGGACAAAGTTGAGAACCGTATCTTTAAAAGCCTAATCAACTGCACGAGAAAGTTGAGATAACAAAAGGGAGAGTCATTCTGTAGCTAGACTAATTTTTTTAAGTGATGCAATATTTTTTTTAGAGTCAAGTTTAAGTTGATAAAAAATTTTAGAAATTTTTTTTTAAATGTTACAAATAATTTTATTTTTAAAAATTTTTTTTACACAGAAAAAAAATACTTTTATCAAGAAAATTTTTTTAATACAATTCATGTTCTTGAAAATTTTTAAAAATATATATTCTTAGCTCAAGAACTTGTTAAATTGATTGAATTAATTTTTACTTTCTTTAAATAAAGCTATTCTCTTGTTTGTCTATTATTTAAAGATAAATATTGATGCTTTTTTCTTTAGAAATTAATAATTAATAATAATAGAATATTAATTGAGTAAAAGTATTTTTTTTTCTCAATGTATAGATTATTGTACACTGAAAAAAAAAAATTAAATTGTTTCGAGAGAAAAATTCTTAAACCAAGTAAAATTTCCTTAAATGAAGAAAAATTTATTAGTTCAAAAATTTTTCTACTTAAATCAAGAACATTAAGTTCTTCAAAATTATATACTTGATTCAAGAACATTTTTTTTCTGTGTAGAATAATTATAAAAATTAATTTTGAATATTTATTTAGAGAAAGTCGAACTTGTAAAGTTATTTTTCTTTCGTGTCCTAAATTTTCTAAAATGTTCTTTTAATATATACCTACTATTTTAACCCCCGTATTGAATAGATGTAAAAACATTATTTTCTTACAAAAAAAAAAAAAAGTTATATTTTAGTGGGTAATTTTCAGAAAATATTAATTAGTAAAAGAAAATTAGTTGAGTATTATTAAAATTCGTCAGGTAATTTGTCATTATAGACTGAAAATTTAGTCATAAATCTTAATGAGTATTTAAACTGGGGTTTAAAATTAATTTTAATAGGTTTTTAATTTTCTATTCATATACTTCTATTCATGTACTTTTCATGTATAATTTTCTATTCATGTATTTTTTCCACTAAACTGAACTAAGCTAATTAAAAATATTAACAGAAAAGAAAATAAGCATTAGTCACACTTGAAATAAACAATGTATTTACAAAATGAAATTACCTTTTGGGTTCAGTCTTTCCGGATTAAACCATGCATCTGAAAATACAAAAGGTTGTTAATAATAAGTCCATCACCAATAACATTTTAAAAGATTAAAATTATACAGTTAAGATAAAAGTAGTATAACTGGTTTTAATATTACTTTTCGATAGAGAAAGTAGACAGGACACTAAATAGAAGTTAGTGTATTTATATTACTTTGAATGTTAAAATTTTCCTCAGATAATCATCTGTCCTAATTACCTCATTACTGACAATGAGTAAATTTTGAACTTACTAATTATAATTTAATGAAAGTAATGTAATTTTAAATACTCCCAAATGTCTAGGTAATGACAGAGACAATAATTTTCTCTTAAATGAAAATAGCGCGCTTGATTATTTATTATTAAATTATTATTATTATTATTAATACAAGATAAATAATCGAAATAATAATTGAGGTTTCTAGTACCAACAGAAACATTTATTATTTACTCATATCGATCCCTTAATGCACAAGTAAGTGTGCACCGTACAATCGAACAACTCTCGTGCAGAAAACCGGAGGTTATAGAACTCGAGTTATAACTCAGAAACCCTATATACTTGTCACTATTTTTTATTTTTATCAATTGCAGTATCGTAACTAGTCACGGATTATCGATCTTTAAATCAACAAATTTAACTCTCTAATATAAATTCTTTTTACATATTTTGATCATCATTGAAATTATAATTTAGAGCTTTTATTTTAAACATCACATATCAGATCCTTGAAATAATAATTACGTGTAATTACGCAATAGCTAGATACGATGTTAATTATTGACATGAAAAGATTATACTTAGACTTTGTATTCTTTAAGATATATTTATATATAGTTGTTGGCTAAAGTAGTCACATAGTATATATTATATTGAACAAATAATATTCATTATTCTGAAATAGTTTACTTGAGAACACATTTTGTATGACCTACCGCACTAATTTTATGCAATATTATTATTTTTATTACTATATATATTATAATTACTTTCTTTGTAAAATTAATTTGCATAGAGATATAGATTTTAAAATGTATATATTATAAATGGTAACTGATAATTATTTAACTCGCAATTTTACGATATTACGTACAATTTACAAATATGGATGTGACATTGAAATTATTAAATAATGATGATCATAATAATAATCATGAAAAAAAAAAAAAAATAATAATAATAAAATTATTTAAAATTTATTATTATTTTAAATGATATTTGTCATTGCCGATTATTATTTTAAAAATTAAAAAAAAATTTATCTATAAATTAGAATAAATTAAATTAGGTACTCTAAAAAAATTTTAAATCCATAAATAATTTCACTAAAAATCTAGAACAAAAAAAAATATTTTTCTTTAAATAATTTTGGTTGATATTTATAAAAAATGTATAACATAAAAATCGATAAACTATAAATAAAAAATATTATATACTTAATATAATAAAAATATTGAATAAAATTCTTACGAGGATTTAAAACATTCCAAGTACAAGGATATCCACCAGAATTATTATCTTTTTTACAAGAATCATCATCCTTTTTAGGTAGAGGACACGCCATTGAGTCGGAATCCATTATTAGTAATCAAATCAACAATACAAAACAACAATAAACCTTAAACTTGAATTGACAATAAAATAATTGGATAAAATTCGTAGCACTGATAATTGAATTTAATGCCCGCACTTTGCACTGACAAAAATAATTAATAATGTACGCAGGAAAAAAATATACGCAGTGAGCACTTTTAAGAGATAATACTAATAACTATTATTTTTCACAGCACATAAAACGGAGCTCCAAAGCCTCAGACACCTCTGAGACGAATGAAAATGACAATACTGGGGTAATTGTTAAGGACTGGGTACGTAGTTTGTGTACTGAGTGTACTGAATACTAGTAGGTGGAGCTCGTACCTAAGTACGATAACACCAAGTATTAACAAATATCCCTACTCTTTTATCTTAGGTATTGTGTACTCATATATAAGTATGAGTGTGTTATGGGTGCTCGTAGATATGTAGGTAATTTATCGCATGTATAATAAATTTTTATATATTTAAATAGACTGACTCAGTGGAAACCGGGAACGTAAGTGAGCGCTGAACTGACGGATGAGCACAGGCTGTGTATTGTCGAGTTGTGACAGTCGTGTAAGGGGTATGTGATATATATATGTATGTATATGATAGCGTATAGTAGTATAGTGTCATAGACTGAAAACTATGTGCACGTAATGTTGCATTACAAGTACTGAGACTCTCTGTTTCTTGTCTGTGTCTGTGAGCTGTGTGGTGGGCTCTTATCGATCCGCAGCCGCCAGCGGAATAGTCCGCGCATGGCCGGCCTCGGTTACTATCGGACCCGATCGCGAGTACTCGTTGCGACAAATAAAATAGAGATAAATGATATTTTTCAAATTATCATCTTCATTTTGTTCCTGGCACAAAATATTTCAATTTTTGTCACATTTTGTTCAAATTTTTTTAACTATTGCTAAATATAAAAAATTTTAGTTTTTTTAAAGTTAATTATACATTTTCATTGTTAATAAATAAATATATGTTTTAGTAAAACAAGAACAGAAAATTCAGATTTAGAATTTTGGATTTTTATGAAGTTAAATATTTAATAACATTTAAATTAGCAAACATTTAATTGTTTTCAATTTTTGTACAAAAACAGAATTTATTTCTGTGAAAAAAAAAATTTAATTGCGTGTCTAGTATTTTTCAATTTTCACAAGTGAAATTTATTTTTTTTACAATTATTTATTTGTTTAATTTTTGTATTGTAATATTTTACAATTTTTTTTATTAAAAAAAGCAATTTTTTTAGCATTAATTAATTTTTTAAAATTAAAAACAAAAAATTTTCAGTCTGCTAATTTTAGTACTCCAAATTTAATTTTTTTAAATATTTAATATAGTTACCATGATTTAAAATTTTTTTAAATTTACTAGATTAATATTTAAAATTTTAACGCGCATAAAAAATTCTTTTGATAAATATAAAATTATTTAATTTATTTAAATTGTTATCTTTGCAATTTAAAATAAATTTTATTATATTGTCACAGTTTAAATCTTTTATTTTTCAATAAAAAATTTATTTAACATTTTTCTTGTAATACTCCCAATTTATAAATCAAATTAAAAATAATTCTTCTAACTGATAAACTTTAACAAAATATCAATTTTTTTTTCTCATCTAATATTTTTTTATTTCTTTTTTCAATTTTCTGATCTCATAAAATAAAACAAATAATTTTATAAATTTAATTTTTGTTCCAAGATAAAAAAAAAAAACTATTTTAATTAAATGTCATTTTAAATAAAGTAAAGTTTCAATCAAATGAATAATAAAGTAAAAATTATAATTTTCCATTAAATTGAAAATGATATGACTACCCTTTGATGGCCTTTAACAAATGTCACTTTAAAATATAATAACTTTTATTTCAGAAGAACAGATATTGAAAAAAAAAAATCATAAATAATATTTATAATTTAACAATGAAATATATATTTACTTAAATTTAATAAACAAAAAATTCTGACATAAAATACGTTCCAAATGATTTGAAAGACTTGTCAAGGCAACGGCAACATACAAGCTGGCCATGATAAAAGTACTGAATTTATCTTACGTAATATTTCAGAACAATGACGACCTATACGATACCTACAATCCAGGGAAAAAAAGCACATTATACTTTATACTTATAATAACAAATTGACCGGTAGGAATAAAGGCTCTGACATATAACATAAATACGTAACTCGTCTGCAAGCCGATATGAAATATAGAAGAGCATGTTGCGCTTTGCAGACTTTCTGGCGCCCACGCAAGCGTATTTACACTCACCCTCCGTGCTGCAAATTCATGTAGGCCGTTAAACCATATTTAATACGCGATAATTAGTATCGATGCATTCAGATATAGATCCATCGAATGACTCTTGTACCTCCCCTTTGTCCTTTAGACTTTCAATAATTTTTTAGCATTCTATTTTTATTTTATTTCAATCCCAAGTTATTGACATGCGGCTTTTAATTACCACCGATAAGTTGCAATTATTTATTGATAATAATAATAACAGTGATAATTGATGATAAGTGTTCTCTATAGACTTTGAGTTATTCAATTTCATTGATAAATTGATAATGATCATTAACAATTATTATTTTGACTGACAATCACTGGCTTCAAGCCCATCGACGGAATTAAGTTGTCAGAATGACAAGGGCTTCGCTGAGATCTATTTTTATTTGAATTTTCAGGTTTTAATTATTATCAAACGTTTATTATTTTAATTATTTTATTTGAATATAAAGTATAATAATTTTTGTTCCTTAAAAATTCTTTTTGAAAAAAAATAAAATTAATTTAATAAAATAAAAGCAAGAGAATAAAAAAAATTTTGTATCCATGATAGTAATATAATAAAATCGGTTTTTTTGTAGTGAAATTTAGTGTCATTGCAAAGGTCTTGATTTGAATTTGTGCCTTTTCAAGGTTTCATATCATTCTCACCGATAATTAATTTATGATTATAAGTATTTAGGCTGCATTCGAAAATTCTATATCTCTAGATACATAATTAAGAAATGACCTTGTATCTTGTGAAATATTGACATTTTCAAAGATATAAGCTCATCCTGATGTTACACTCATCGAGACCTTTCATTTGAGTACCCACATCCATTTTTCATATATTTTATATATTTATATATATATGTATATATAAAAAATATATCAAAATGCATGTGGGTACTCAAATGAAAGCTCTTGATGAGTGTAACATTGGGATGAGCTTATATCTTTAAAAATGTCAATATTTAAGAAAGTACAGTGCAATTTAACAAAAGTCATTATTTAACAAAGCAAAATTTTATTTATTTATAATTCACAAGTCACGGCAGTCACGTAGTGACTGCAAGGTTGCTAGTTTTATTTATTTAGTTTCTTATTAATTAAATTTTATTTTTAGCAATAATTCACAAGTGGGGTCAATCTCTTTCTGGACCATAACTAGGTGAAAGATTAACAATTAAAAATTTTTAAATTTATGATAAAGAATGTCGTGAAAGGAAAAATATAGATTTTGATAGCTTTCTTTGCCTTTAAAAGTTGGTAAAAATATTGGCTTTCATGTTTTTGGATAAAATTTTATTTTAGAAATAAAATATTTATTTTATTTAATGTTATATTTCATGTTAGAAATAAATTTATTACCACTTTTTCAACCCTCAGTAATTTTTTTTAAAGTTACGCGCATATTTCTTCCCTACCGACTGTCAATAATAATCGTAAATAAAATTTAACGTTTCTAAGAAAGATAAAGAAGTTTTCTTCTGTAAAAAATTCCCGGGAAAAAGAATAAAATTTTTACTTGGTTCAAAAACTAAATAAATAAAAGATTAGATATCTTAGTAGACTATACCAATAAATAAATATCAATTTATCATGATTGTGAATAATGATATAATACAAGAAGTTGATAAGAAAAATTTTAAAAATCTATAGCGCAATTTTAAAAGAACTAATCGATTGAATTTTTAGACAATGAGCCAAACAATTGTTATTATTATTTTCTACTAGACATACCGATAAAAGAGTGACTAATTCTTTAAAAGGAGCATAAAATATTTAACGACGTGATTTTAGATTCTAATTCAGTGAAGTCATTCTATTCTGAGTAATATTAATCGTTACACAATCTATTTTTATTTTTATTTATATATAATATTCATATTGTTATTTTTATAAAAAGAAAAAAAAAACTAAACTTGGTGAAGCGAAACCGGATAATATATTTTTTTTCCAGAATCTTTGTATTGAAAACTTGATAATATTGCAGTTCTTACTTTTAATTAGTAAATAAATAAATGCTTGGCTAGTTTTAATCTTTTAATAAATCTAGAGAAAGCTCATTGAGATTCGATGAGCATTAAATACTGGACATTATTTTTATTCATTGGCTGTGACCTCATTCAAGAGCAAAGGAATTACTCTCCGCAAAACACGTAATGCTTATATCATGAATATGGATATTAAATTGTAAAGAGGATAAAATCGACCGCAAGTTTGACTTTTATTAAAAAATTTATATCCTTTTTATCCTGTTCAGTTTTTAAATAATCCATTTTTAAATTAAATAGCGTTATTTTTGGAATTCTATAAAAAGTTTCAAATGTTTTTTGTTAATTAATTTGTAAAAAATTTTTTCTGAGGAAAATAACAGAAAAATATATGATAAAGTTTTAATTAACTAAACAGAACTGTTTAAAATCAAAATAAAGGATCTCTAAGTTTATATTCTATAAAAATATAATTAGTTGATAAAGTTCACCAGAGATATGCTAATTAGTAAGTGTTACTTTAGAGTAATTAATGCGTGTCGTTAACTAGTTTGATAACGAACAAAAAACTGATGATGATAAAAAAAAATAAATTAAATGTGTATTTTTGTAAAGTTAATGCGCGTTCAAATATAAATTATAAATATCTCTAAAATTTTTTAATAAAAAACTTAATGCTTAAGAATTTCACAAATAAAGAGCAGTACAAACTGTTAAATCAATACAGCAAACATTTACAGAAACCTGCGGAATTATTTTTCCAATTTGCGCAATCATCTCTTAAAATCAATTACCAAACTTTCAATTATTTTTTTTCTACACTAGAATTATGATTAAAAAGTTATTTTTTTTTATAGTCTAGTCTTTTATAATAAAAGTAATTTTCCTATAAATTTTTCGAGGGTAGCCTCAAATGACTTTCCTCCCAGACACGTAAAAAAGTATCAGGGACAGGGTGAGAGTGAAGTAAAGCCCGAAGTCGGTGATGCGGGGTGTATTTAAGGGTGTCTCGCTGCCGATCGATATAATACAACCGCTTACTTGAAACAACACACATACACCCAACATATGATGACTTAAGCCCCACGTTAGTAACAAACACTTAGAACTGATACTCATACTAATACTATGATTCACATATTAAGCTGTTATACTCTTATATATATAGACATTTTCCATGCACATGTGTTAATGTGCGTCATCCAATTTATTCTCGTGCACTCTGCTCCTAACCCCCATACCCACACCCCTTATACCCCATGCTCATTTCTCATGTCACTTGTAGGTAGTATGCATTACATATTTTAAAAATATATAATCGCCTGAAATATCTATTTTTTATTTTATTTCATTATTATTATTATTATTATTATTATTATTTAAATCGGTTCTTATTTTCAGGATATTTAATATTAAATAATATTATTATTTTTGTAAAAAAAAATTAGTAACAAAATTTGCATTTTACAGTTTTAAAAAAAATTTTTTTTGAATCTAAATAATGATGATAATAATAATAATAATAATAATAATAATAATAATAATAATAATAATAATTTTAAGTTTTTTAAATTCAAATTTTTATTATTATTATTATTTTTTTTATTATCAAGAAAGTAGTATCTAAGCCATTACCTAATTAGCTTAAAAAACGCGACATTGAACGTTAAATATAAAATATAAGATAATGTATACTACAAAAAAAATATTTTCGCCACTATTATACACGCAATTATCTTAAATGTTTGTTTCGCAACCCTGTTATTAAATTAACAAAAGAATGAATTTTAATTACAGAAAAATAAACCAACTATGACTTATTATTGTTATAAATATTAAACTAGGCCTTTCTATTTTTCATATTCAGTATTACAAAACGGTGTAGCGAGTTTTTTAAAACAAAAAACACTTAAATAAAAACGCTAAGATAAAATGTAACTGTTGACTCGGTTGGATGGTGATTCAAACGCTAAATAAAACTCCAGATTATTTATATATTGTTTTAGAGAGTTTGAATGATGATTAATTTAATAAACAAAACGGATGAAATACTTAAAAGAATAAATCAAAGTATTGTAACAGACTTATAGAAATAATAATAATAATAAAAATAAATAAATTATATTATTTAGTTAAAAATACAAAAATGACTTCTTAAAATAAATCACTTTTCATCAAAAATTTTGTAATTTAAATAATTTTTCCAGCAGACTAATTGCTTTTTAAATTGCATAGGAATTAAGTAAAAAACATAAATTTTTTTCCTTAAAAGAAATCCAAGTACTCGTAACTCTTTTGTGTATCTAAGCGGAAGTGAACGGGCCAGGTAACTACGAGTACAGCCTACTAACGTAAATCTTATTAGACTGTTCTTTTAACGCTACTTTTTCGTTCGTTATACCGCATATGTTAATTAATATGATAATTAATAATGACAATATAATCTACATATCTGTGTACTTTAAATTAGTATTTACAAATGTACAAGTGCAGATGAACTGGTAAGCACAAGGTAAATTTATACCTTAAATTTACAAATTTTTCGGCTCTAGACTAAATATTTATTCACAATAAACATAATTTGGAGTTTAGTTATTGGTTACACATGTGAGTCAGTGTGTATATGCGAATATTAATGTGTAAAATCCACATTACTTTAGTATGAGTCATATAATCTGTCGTTAGTTTAATAGTTGGAATATTAATAGATATTCCACCTACACGTTGCCGTCCGGATGACACTGACACTGTAACGAAGCTTTTAATGTGTAAAGTTAATATATAATATTTAATATTATATAGATATTACACATGGTAAAAGGTATACCCAGTATGACAATGAATACCGTAAAGTAAAGGTCTTCCGGAGAACTTCCGCTTTAGTATGCAAAAGGGTATCGACATCAGCGAAACAGTAGTCGAGCGAGACTGATATGACTCACCAAATTACGGCTCAAGTTACTTCTGAGTACAGGTGGATTTATTAAATAAATAAATAAATAAATAAATATAAAACTATATTAATTCATCTTTAAAAAGTAACTCCTACGCCTATATATCTCTAAAAAATCGCACCTCTTTCAAACTACCCCACTTTACTTCTACTTACTTAGAGAAATCCTTTCTAGTGACTGTAATAAGACTTTGGAAAGAATTACCTGCTGAAATTGTTACTTTTTCTACCTTACAAGTGTATAATTTATTTATTGAATCTTGATAAATAAAAAATGTAATTCTCAGATTTATGAAAATAAAGTTAGCAGACATTTCAAAATTTTTTATTGAAAAAATTTCAATTAAACAATTAAAAAAAAATTGTCACATGTAAAAAACTTGAAAAACTACAAGTGCAATTTTTTAGAAATATCTTTTTAGTTGTAATTTAATTAATTAAAAAAATCAAAAATTTTTAGACGTCTGCTTCAGTGTCATTCAGATTTATAAATGTTTCAATGATTAAACTCATTGAAACGAATTGTACTAGCTTCAAACTAATAATTATCTGATAAATTGGTATCTTTTACTATTGTTAATCAAATGTTTATTGTTCTATGTACTCACAATTGTATTTATCTGCTCTTAATCTTATTTACTATCTATTGAAATTGCCATTTGGCATTAATAAACCAAATTATAATTCTAATTCTAATGAAAATTAAGTTAGCCGACATTTAAAAATTTTTAGATTTTTTTTTATTGAAAAAATGATTGCAAAAAAATTTTCACTTTAAAAATTGTCAGTGGAATTTTAAAAAAATATTTTTTTGTTTTAATTTAATTATTAAAAAATAAAATTTAAGGTCAAGTTTGTTGGCTAAAAACTACCTTAAAAAAAAAAAAAAAAACTCACCGAGTCCCATATCGGAGAAAATTTTTCTCGGCGCGATTTCGTCATGCTCGACAAGATATTTCTTGGCTGGCAAACTGCTCGTAAATTTGCGTTCCTGAGTGATAGCTTCTGCTGAAGAAACGCTCGGCTTAACAGGAACCTTGGCTGGAGAAGGCTCGGGCTCGGATTCAAATTCCGAGTCTCCAGTCTCGTTGTCAGCCTGAGTATTGAGCTGGTGACTTTCCATAGACATGTAATCACGGGTCATTTCAAATTTATCATCCGGGTCCTCCTTGGGCAGCGGAGGTAGCGGTTTTGTTGGCGCGTTATCAATAGAATAATCATCGTGTAGATCAATCACTGGATTGTTTGAATTTTTTACCACTTCTTTTTCCTTGACACTGTTTTCATTAAACTGAGGCAGCGGTTCGTCGCTGAGGAAGTCCATCACCGGGGGTTTCTCCGGTTGCGGAAGAACAGACGACTTTATGTCGCCAATAATATCATCATCGGGCTGATGGAAGACGTCTTTTTTTCCATAATCTTGATCTGTATCTTTGGTGGGTTTGTTATTGACAAAGCTGTCGTTATTGAATGAAGAAGAGGACAGAGAGTCGGGAGGACTCAAGTCTGAGCCAATGTGTTGTTTATGTTTGTCAGAGAGGTCGTCAGCCTCGCCAAGGTCATAGTTGTCATTGTGCTTGGTTTCTTTTTCAATCACCAGATCCGGAGATATACTCGCCGCGGGTGAATCACTTCCACCCATCAGAGGCGAGTCACGGTTCAGTAAATCCTTAACGCTGTCTTGATTATCCTCGAGATCTTTATCTTGATTATTATTTTTATAACTATCGAATTCTTTGCGCCCGAACTCGGGTGACATTTCCGGAGTATCTTGATAAAATCCACTTCCACTTCTTTCAGTCTCCATGAACGCCATTGTCGCAGTTTTAGTGTCAACCTGACTAGGCTGTTGTTGCTGATTGTGTTGCTGCTGCTGCTGCTGCTGCTGCTGCTGCAGTATCTCGAAAGGATCCAACGGCTGCGCACTAGGTGACAGACCGCTAAACTTTTCCAAATCCGCTGAAGGTGGCGGAGTCGCTGGAACCGGCTGCAAAATTTTATCCTCCACCTCAGTCACTGTAGTGTCCAGAAGATTTCTTTCAGTTAATTTTGTCGCGACTTCCATTAAATCTTTTGGCCCATGTGAATCCATTATATTTATCCCACTGTCTTTGCTGTCATCCGGTGACGCAAGATGCTCCAAATGCTCAAAGTCGTCCGTAGAATCCGTCTCGCGTTTTATTTTCTCAATTCCCTGGACTTCTTTGTCCATTTCCATTTTTTTTTTTATATTTTTAAATAATTGTCTGATGTAAAAAATTAACACTAGCTTTTTCACTCACTTTAAAAATCTGCAATGCGTAAAAAATAAATATTAATGATTAAAATAATAATTTTTTTTAAATAATATATTTAATACTCCAAAAAAAATATCACACTTTTTGAATATCCGGCTTTTGAAGATCCAAAGCCGGTTGTTACTTGCTCCGTACTGTTTCTTGTAAAAGCTGTACCTAGTTTATGTAGTATCTATCTAGATTACTCCGACGTTCTCAGCTGTCAAAACTCACCAGTGCACATGCGGAATAGCTTTATCCTCTACTTCTAGCAGTAGCAGTTGCTGTACTTGGATCTCCCACCATACACTGGCAACCACCAACAACCAACACCTTTTTCAAATAAACTTCTTCATAAATGACTCACAGTTTATACTCGACTGACGTCTCCCTCTGGTTGCCGCGCGCAAAACTTGTCTTCATTGAATTTATTTATGTTCTTTATAAACATCAGTTTCCAAGAACCAGCGAGGTTGTCTTGTCACACTTGTCTACAATAAATGATCGATTTATTACTTGATAAATTTATCGGTACTTATTGATAGTAGAAACTAGTGTGAGTTATGTAAATTATTAAAAAATATTTCACAGGAACAGGTCCGGTTGTAAATAGTGACGATACTGCGATCGTTTGAGGTTTGAAAGTTGTTATTATTTTGAAAAATGTCAATCTAATGATCCGGCCGGTCTTTTTGTATTTAGTATCTACTCAAAATTTTTTTACTTAAAAAGAAAATTGTTACGTTTAGTCGTTTATTGTCTTAAAGATATAATTATGTTTATATTAAATTATAAAAAAGTGTACCACAGGCTGAAAAAAAAAATATGGGTTAAATTTTGAAGTCAAAAAATATGACTGTCTTCGGTATTTAAATAAAGGTTAAGATAAAATTTTGCACGACTCATAATGCCAAGAGAGAGTGCTTTACTATCGAAGAGAATTTTTTTCCCCTCCGTTTTATATAATGCTAAAGTTAGCCGACGTTTTTAATTAATTTATTGGTTTTTATTTATTAAATTAGAACTAAAAAATAGTTTTTTAAAATTGCATTTATAATTTTTCAAGTTTTTTACAAATGAAAATTTTTCAATAAAATAAATTCTAAAAATTTTTAGATGTCGGCTTTTTAATTTACAGAACTAACATAAACTTTTGAAATAAACTAAGTCTAGAAAATTATTTATAAAAAAATGCATTTATAATTTTTTAGAGCTTCTAAAGATGAAATTTTTTAAATAAATTTTTCTTGCTATAATTTAATAGTTAAATAATTTCTAAAAATTGTCTAGACAATTATAATGTCTCTCAAATCTCTCAATTTCAGTATCATATTTATGAACTGTAGGTATATACTTAAACTTTCTGAACCAATACGACGACCTGAGTCGGAAATTATTAAAATTTTTTATTAAATTAATGTAATTTTAATCTTAATAAATTTCTTTAACAAATAAAATTGGTTGATTATAAATCATTCCTCTGAAAAAAAATTTGTTCTTTTTATTTCATTTCAAATCTAATTTTTTATCACTTTTCTACTTTCAGGGTCATCATCAGTTTTTATATTAATATTTTATATATTTATGTCGCTTTTGACCATTTTTTAATTTTATTTAACAAATAAATTTGCTCCAATAAATAATTTCTAAAAAATAGCATTTTCTCCCCTCCGTGCGGAAAGCGTCAATTTTCTGCTCGCTGCGCTAAACGAAAATGCCGCTTTCCGCCTCCGTCAAGGAGAAAAATAGTATTCTCACCACGGGCAGGAAATAAGAAAGCCTCAGATCACATGTTTGTCGACCTCGGCTTCGCCTCGGTCAACAATTACATGTAATCTGAGACATTTCTTATTTTCCTGCCCTGGGTAAGAAAAATACTATTTTTATTTTTCAAATGTCAATTTTTTTTCTCATTTATTTTGACATAATTTATTTGTGGTAAAAAAAATTTAAAAAATGATTAAATACCTATCTGCTAAATTAATTTTCATTACTAAAAACATCAAACATCTTACAACTTTTCTTATTTTTTAAATAATTAAAATATTAAAAATAAAATTTACTAAAAAAAATTCTACATGTAAAAATAAAAAATATTTTTATCATAATTCATTTCAAAAATTGTCTGCTGATCCGTATCACAATTAATTACTAAGAAACAGCGAGGTTATGTATTGTGACACTCTGCTGCAACATAAGATTATACATATTAATATCAGTATTGATAAATTAGTGCGGGTGATGATATATATTATGAATTATGAAACATGATTAGGTAACAGGCCCAATAGGAAATAGAGCCGACACTGCAATCACATCAGATTGAAAACTATTTGATTGGCTGAAAAACCTCCGTATGACAACGCTATCCGGTCTTTTTATTTTACACCAAATGAACGTGCTCTGTATTGCTCACTAGTTTTTTATTTTACAGTACAGCTCCTACTGGTGCTCGATTTGTACATAGTTTAAGTGCTCTTAAATTTCTACACCAAAAATTAAGTGCTCTGTTATTTTATTTTAATTAACAAAACCGGGTAATTATGAAGTGACCAGGATCTGTAAATAAATAAATAAATAAATAAATAAATAAATAATATCGTTCTAAGTTTCAACTTCGCGCACGCGTTTTTCGACCTAACAATTATTTTGGTGCTAATTACTTAAATTTTAATATTTATTTAGTGCCTTCGGTGTCCAAGCTGACTGTTGAAATTTAATTTCCTCAACAATGACCACAAGAATGAGGTTCAACATGACTGACGGTGTTATTAAAAACGGTATTCTCAATGAAAAAATAAATTCTGAAGAATACAAACCTCAGAATGGATTTATTAAGGTATGAAGTATATTTGTTTGGTCGATAATTACCTATAAGAAAAACTTTATACTTTCTTTTAATTATTTACAACTAAAAACTAATATCGAGCGGGAGGTGTTTTCTAATTCCAGGAATCGTTATCTTCAGTGGTGTTATCCACTGATTGACCTTGATAACTCTGATTGTACTGTAAATAGATTGATTTATAATAACAGTACATAGGACCGATATATTTATGTCATTATTTGGCTTTCAAAATAAATTTTTAATTGTTTAATTAAAAATTTAAGCTCGGCTTTTGTATTGACACTTTTGGATTAATGATATCAGAGCCCTCTATCGTTAATGCAAATTTAATTCATTCAATTTGTTGAATTTTTTTATTTAATTTATATTGAGACAATTTACCGCGGATTTTGAATTGGTTTTTATTAAGGCACACACACAGTAATCAAGGCCGGGGTTTATGAGTTGTTTTATACTTATATATTTTATAACTATTTTAGTTTATCCTTGAGTATTATAACTTAAAATTATTGTAATTTTATTTTTTTACTAATCTTAATGGCTTGACGATAAAAGTCACGAAGAATTTTATCAATTTATTTTTAATCTTAGAAAATAATAATAGAAAACATCCGACAAATATTTTGCTCATAAAAAAATTTTAATAATTTTATTTTTATTGTATATTATTAAAAGAATGAGGAAAACATTCGAAAATACTGTCTCTAGGCACATATAATTAAGAAATGACTTTGTATCTTGTGAACTATTGACATTATTAAAGATATAAGCTCATCCCGATGTTACACTCATCAAGACCTTTCATTTGAGTACCCACTTCAATTTTTCATATATTTTATATATTTGTATATATTATATATATATATATATATATATATGTATATATGAAAAATATATCAAAAATGCATGTGGGTACTCAAATAAAAACTCTTGATGAGTATAACATCAAGAT